CCCCCCTTGTTTCCACCTGTTGATGTCATGTCTGACATTATCAGCACTTTAAAATCAGGAAATGCTAGGGGGGCTTTCCACACACCTGACCTACATAAAGACTGAAAACAAAGAACAAAGTATGAAAAAAATGACTTGATCTGCAACATAATAGAGTATAAAGAAACATGTAACTGAGTATTTGTCTTAATTTGCAGAAAGTTTGTTTTTCCATCCACAGAATGCGTACACAAACAAACCCAGGATAGTCAGTGCAGCAAAGTTACTTTAACAAATAGCAAATCATAGCAAATAAATAGAGAGACAGAATAAGGTGCATAATATGCAAAAAAAAAAAAGTCAAAACACATCTGGGACAAGTGGAGAGCATTACAACTGCTTATCCCTTTGTCACACTGAGAAACATCCCCTGCTGGACTGTGATGTCAGTTTTAAGGTCCTGAGGACTTGTGCTGCCCAGCTGTCACATTTACAGCTGGATTGACTCCAGTCCAGTAAAAGTCTCACTATGCTTGTCAAAAGCATAGTGAGACTCCAGTGTCAGTGAAAACAACACGCCTAGTTCCTTTAGCAAAGAAAATCACACTATCACCAGTGGAAGCTGGTGACACCAGCAGATTAAATAAACTGACCATGAAGGCTGGCTCTATAATAGGTTGCAAACTGAACCTCCTCTCCACCAGAGCTGGAGGTCACCGAACAAACTTTTATGGGTAACCCTGGTGTATTTCTTATCTTATTTTAAATTATCTTACTGGTCTGTAGACAGTCGGCCAGCTCCTCCTGCTTCATTCTCCTCAGGAAGTGTTGTGTGATCTTTAGAAATGACTGTCTGCTGCTCTTCTGCTCTTCAGCTGTACCACCCAGGCCCTCATCTTCACTCTGATCAAGTCCACCGTCTCTGTAATCTGGATTTAGGACCTCCTGGAACCTCTTCAGCTCGGTCTTCACAAATCTCATAATGTTCTCCTCAAGTTGCTAGAAAGAAATGTTAGCTTCTGTTAAACACAACACCACATTTAGTATATCTAACTGTCTGTGAAGTGCTCAGTGCAGAAAAAGCACCAACTCAGTCACGGTCACTGTCTTTGAGATATTTTTGTCATTACTTGTACCATATAAGTAATGACAAACCTGGAAAGAGTACAACATTTCAAGCCCCAGCTGGCTCTGATGAAAACAGAAACATGAACTTTGGACTAAACTAAATTTAAGAGAGCAGAAAGCAGTGTTGTTCCCAAACAGCAGGAGCTGTGATGAAAAAGATTGTAGGTAGATTGATTGATAGTAGTATTAAGCAGAAACACTGCAGTATTACTCCATGGTGATATGTGTTTTCTGTGCTTACATACAATAAATATGTCCTGCAGAGCTGTTTGGTGCCCACTATCAGGCTGGTGATGGGGAACCTTTAAATTCTGCTGCTGCTCGTCTCTGTGGAAATGTCAGAAAAACAGGATACATTTCATACACAGTATATTCTAAAAATATCAAATGATAATCAAATCAAATAATCAAATAATCATCCTTACGTTGAGCCTTTAAATTTAATTTCACGGTTGATGGAGCCACTGGATGTCACAGTCAGACATGTGGTTACACAAGGATCAAATGTCTGCTTTTTATTTGGTCTTGAAACATAAAACAGACACATTATAAGCAGAGGTTTATAGAAGCTTCTAGAAACGACAGAAAGAAATGTAGTTTTCAGTCAAAGCTCACGTTTTGTCAGAGAATGGCATCTGAGAGATGGGAGTGTAAATGTTCATGACTCGTTCTCTATTCAGGGATTCAGACACCCAACCCGGTTCAGGATCAGCTCCAGGTCCGGCAGAGTCTGGTCCAACCTGCTGCTTTACCCTTAAATGCAACACATATAGTGCTCAGAGCACGAATCGTGACGATGAAGATTCAGTTCCAACAGTTACTTCAAAGTGCTTAATGTTGTACAGGAAAGATGCTGGAATATTTTAAACAAACTCCAGCACTTATTGACAGTGAATCCAAGCTGGTTCATTAAGAAGCTGCAGCTCTGCTTCCTGGTCTTAATTAGGAAGCAGTTTGGGGGGTTTGATAAATTTGACCAGATTTCTAGAAATGAGAGCTGCTCCATCCAAAGTGGGATGGATGCTGTCTCTCCTAATAAGACCAGGTTTCCTTCAGAAAGTTTCCCAACTATCTAGACAGCCAGCAATTTAAGGAGAACATGCAGCTTCATATGTCACAGGGGACCAGAGAAAACTACAGAGTCCGACATTGTTCTGGGAAAGTTACACACTGATTCAATATTGATTTTGTGATGGGAGAGCTGAGCTGTGACCTGGAGAAGAGTCCTGACAGTTAGAGACGGTCCTCTCACCTCTGAGGTTTGATCTGGCTCTCATGTTCCCCACACAGAGTGGATGCAGAGTTAGGGACTCCCTCCTTTCTGTGCTCACACTGATCCACAGAAGAGAACACACCTTCACACAGACACAACAACACGCTCAGTCAGCACAACAACATTTATACTTCAGACTGTGTTGCTGTGTATACCAAGACTAGCTGCAGAAAATGGAAGTTATACGATATATCATTTCTTTCTTAAGAATGGTGTCTGCTCTCGTGTGGAGCAGCAGACAAGTCAGCTGCATGACAGAATAAAGAAAATCCTCACCACCCAGATTCAGGTCCACGTCCATTACAGAGTTGTTCTATCGTCACCTTTAGAGGAAACACAGAGAGAAGCTGCTTTAACCCGAGGGCTCTGTTACATTCTCATAATCACCATCAGAGCCGGTCAGACTGCAGGTCAGTGAAACCTTCATACTACAAAGAGCAGAGCCCAGCTGCTTCAGTAGGAGCTTAATTTGTTCAAACAGTGATGTCATCATGGTGCAGTAATACTAAAAGAAACATGTTTTTTTGTTTTTCCATCAGTGCATTTTGAATTATGAGGTTGTGTTCTTCATAACTTCTGTCAGGAAAAGAAAACATCCAAATAACATTTGTAGATGATTTTGTTGCTACAGTTTGTTTATGATGATTTTCTAAAACAATTAAGTTTGCTGAAGATTTTTAGAGCGCAGTCTTCATGCATCATTCAGCCTGGTTTATAGAAGACATGGTGAAAACTAATGAATTTTCTCTCTTTATGGTATTTATGATTTAATAAAAATGCTAAAAAGATAACTTTATAAAAAGCGTTGATTCAAATTTATCATCAACATGAAACATGAAGCATTTCTCACATGGCAACAAGTCCATGGAAATGTTGAGAGTTTTATAAAACACTTCAGATATCTGCATAAAAACTTTATGAACCTGAACATGAACACATTTGATTAAACATTAAAATCCTTCCTGCTGAGATTAATCATTTTATATTCAATGGTCCTGTTTGATTCTTTTCTCCTGGCTGCAGGTGAGTCATGATTTGTTAATCAGTGATAAATGTTAACAATATTTTTGTAGCTCCATGTAAAGAACTTTGAACCTTGCTGTTTCTCAGTAACACCACCTGCCAGGTCAAAGTTAAAGTCTCCCAATCGTTAACAATAAACATCTCACTTTGTGTAACTTTGCTCAGTTTGGTGTTAAAATACTAAAAATGTTTGAACTGATCAAATGATCATAATGAACACCGAACAAAACAAGTCTGCAGGTTGATTTTGTTAGGTTTTGTGTTCAGAGTTAAAGTACGTTACCTTCTGATGGAGAAAATAATCTGCATGAAGCTTAAGTGAATCCACAGCTTCAACGGGAAACATGCAGAGAGCAGGAGATTCACACACAGTCTCAGCTCTCTGGATTTATCTACAAACTGAAGTCTTCCTTAAGGAAACCTGAAAACTCCACCATGACCCTTGGAATAAAGAGCAGAAGTCACACACGTACACACAGCACGAGTCCTTATCAGCTGCATCATAAAGTTCTGATAACACAAAAAAAAAAGAGCAAAGAAGGCTTTTATTAAGCAACACACACACACACACACACACACACACACACACACACACACACACACACACACACACACACACACACCTCAGTCTGAAAACAACGCAGCATATACTGAAAACATTCACTAACCATCACATCATGTTGAGTCCATAAACCCACTAGAAAAACCAGCCATTAGAACGATGTCAGGCTCAAGCCACTTCTGCAATACCTTCACTTGTTATGTGTTGAGCATGAACAAAATTACAATACGTCATGAGTCTCTGTGGTCTCAGTGTAGTTCTGGCTGCAGTCAGTAGATGGCACTGCTACACAACCTCTACACCATTACCTACAGGCAGCACTGCAGGACTAAACTCAAATAAAAGCAGTGAAACTGGAAAAATTTCTTTATGAGACTGGAAACACAAACTGGCTACAAACCAGCTCATATCCACCCACCCATCCATCCATCCATCCGTTCTACCACGCATTATCCATCCATAGACTGATCCATTGATTTGTTATTTGAAGTCATGGATGCAGCAGTCTGCACAGAGGTGCAAAGACTCCCACATCTCCCTGAAGCATTGAGGTATTGCCAAGGCAGCAGAGAAGAATACGCTTATCAGTCTCAGGCTGTCATGTCCCAAGTGAAAATGGCAGAAACGCTTTAATTATGGGGGACTATGAGGACCTTTCATAGTCTCGTAGTTCTTTTATATTTAACTTCATGAAAATGTGAAACAAGTGTTCAGTCAGCGGTGGTCTTCACAGGTTGCTTTTAATTGTTGAAGTAGTTAAACATATCTACAAAGTAAATATCCTTATTTGATGCTTTACATTATGAAAGTTTGGCATTCATGACATCATAAAAACATTATCTCACAGACGGTTCTGTTCCAAGCTTCATGTTACAGAAACATTAATAACAGGATTAAATTTTATATGTTGTCTTGTGTCTGCCAAGACTGAGAGAAAATACCTGCTGCATTTTTGTATGACAAGAGCAGCGTAATGTGTTCTTAATTACGTGAGATCCATCTCTGTTTATCTCAGCAGGTGTAAGAAGGTCCTGTGTGAGTAATCAAAGATGTTTTACTGTCACATTCAGGAGAAAAACACCTGAAACTGTTTCATGCATCATTCAACAGTTTGAGCTTAAGAAGAGCAGGCTTTCATTTTTACAGTGTTGAGAGAGTATAGCAGGAAACAAGCTCAAACATCAATCATCATCAGAGAGTTAATGGCCTTTAAATAACCAAGGCTTCAGACAGGTGATTAAAACCTCCCTGTGATTGGTCAACCATCATGACATTCTAGTATCTCCTACCTGTCAGTCAAAGCACCCACACCCTGAATGCTAACTTAAGGTTGTTATGAAGGAGTAAGTTAGCTCTTAAAATGAGCACTTAAAAATAGATTTTAATTCCACAAGAAATTCAATTTAATACTCTTTGAAAAGTTGTGTTGGTCAAACATTAACAGAAAAGCCAGAGAAACAGCGGCTCCTAGAGCAGCTTATTAATTACACGATTATGTGATTGGATTCTAACTTTTGGCTTTACTTACTTTAATGATCACTGGTTAATTAGCATACTCTGTACACAGACTCTGCAAAAGTCTTTATGCTTTAATAGCCCCAATTTAAACAAGAAGTTCTGGTTCTCCATTAAAACCTCCTCCACATGTTGCCTGGGACATTAAACACATGAACATAATCATAAACTGTAGTGAAAGTATACATGTGGTTGGAAAAAGTTTAACACAATGTGCTGTAGATGAAAAATGTTGTTAATCAGCCGCATTTTTATGTCCAACACCAACATTTTTTATATTCTCCACCTGGCTGCTTCACCCGCTTAAAGTCAGAGGTTAGAGAAGGATTGCAGGTAATGAAAGATGAGTGAAGGGGAAGATGTATACATGGCCTACACCCACATCCATCACCTCAGCCTCCACACATTCACATTCCCCTGCACTAATACTACAAGGTTCACTTCCTGCTGCACTGACAGTAAAGAGACAGACTAATAACTCCTGTAAGATAAGATACAACAAGACCTGCTTTATTGCTCCTGAGAGGAAATTTGTCAGAAACGCACGAATAACAAACTGTTTCATACCTAATAAACTGATAAAAAAGTACCTTAATAAACTTCTCATTGTTGCCTGTCAACATAAAATTCCTGGATTTAAGTTTTAATATAAAATGATTGTTGTATTTTTATTGTATTAACAGCAGATTCAATATGATTTTATTTATATAGTGTCAAATCAAATCAAAGAACTTTATGTTGTAAGCTAAAGACCCTTCAATCATATTACCCGCCCTCCATGAGAAAGTGTTTTGCAACAGTGGGAAGGAAAAACTCCCTTTTAACAGGAAAAAACCTCTGGGTTTTTTAGGGGTGAGGGGAGGAAGACGGGACAAAGACATGCTATGGAAGAGAGCCACAGATTAATAATGACTAATGATTTAAATGCAGAGAGGTGTATTATCACACAGTGAGCGAAGAAAGAGCAGGAGAGCAGAATTATCATAATGTCCTATAGTTCTGACATGAAAGATTTTTCTCTAATTTCATAACACTATTTACAACCACTCACTTTGTCTCAGCAGTGAACCGTAAAGTTTAGTAAACTGAAAACAAAACAAAATTATGACTCTATGTTTCTGTCTCACCCCAACCAGTCGCGGTTGATGGCCCCGCCCCTCCCTGAGCCTGGTTCTGCTGGAGGTTTCTTCCTGTTAAAAGGGAGTTTTTCCTTCCCACTGTTGCCAAAGTGCTTGCTTATGGGGGTCATATGATTGTTGGATTTTTCTCTGTACCGTATATATTATTGTAGGTTCTATAATAATATATACAGTCGCCTTGAAGTGACTGTTGTTGTGATTTGGCACTATATAAATAAAACTGAAATGAATTGCTAAATAATCTTGCTTGTTTTTGTTTTATATGGTGAGGAACTTTGTCACATGGAGTCACACAAACCACCTGCAACTCAACACTTCAAAGACCAAGGTACTGGTTGTGGATTTCGGGAGGTCCAGACCAGGTCCACTGCCAGTTCAGATAGAGGGAGTGGAGGTGGAGGTGGTCAACACATACAAGTACCTTGGGCTGTTGGTGGACAACAAACTGGACTGGTCATGCAACATGCAGAACCTGTATAAAAAAGGCCAAAGCCGACTGTACTTCCTCAGGAGGCTGAGGTCTTTCAACATCTGCAGGAAGCTCCTGAGGATGTTTTACCAGTCAGTGGTACTTTTCTATGCTGTGGTGTGCTGGGGGAGCAGCACAGCAAAGAGGGACTCATCCAGACTGGAGAAACTAATCAGGAAGGCTGGCTCTGTGGTCGGCATGAAGCTGGACACTCTGGTGACAGTGGCAGAGAAGAGGACCTTAAAGAAACTGATGGACATTATGAACAATGCCAGACATCCTCTGCACACGGTCGTAAACAATCAGAGGAGCCTATTCAGCGACAGGCTGCTTCTCCCAAAGTCAAAAACCAACAGACTTAAAAACTCCTTTGTCCCACATGCCATCAGACTGTTTAACTCCTCACTGGAGGGGAGAGGGAGGAGAAACAGGGGGACAAGGGAGGGCAGGAACAACTGAGCTGTAGGTGCTTTTCTTCACTGTGCAATATTTGCAATATTTGTTTTTTGTTTTGTCTTTTTTCTTGTATTTGACTGTGCAATAATCACTGTGCAATATACTCACTCAAATGAGCAGCCAGGGGTTTCCGCACCCGCTGGCCCTACAGCTGTGGCTCCGTCACCCCCCGCTCCCGTGCCGTCGCCTGGTCCAGCTTCAGCCTCAGCTTCTGCTTCGCCTGGTCCTGCAGCTGCTCCTCAGTCACCGCCGGCTCCCACGCCACCTACTGCAGCTGCTCCTCAGCCACCGCCGGCTCCCACGCCGCCTCCTGCAGCTGCTCCTCAGCCACCTTCTCCTCGTCGCCAGCGTGGTCGACCACCGGACCGGCTCAGTGGCCGCCGCCGTCTTCCTCGCGGCCGCCCGCCGGACCTGTCCTGTCTCGGCCACCGGCCACAGGGCCGCCCGCCAGACCGGTCTTTGTTTTGGACTCCGTCCCTCCGTCCTGGCCCCCCTCCGCCCGCCCTGTTCTGGTTTTTCTTTCTTTTGGCCGTCGTGTGCCGGCCAACGAAGGCTTTTACAGACAAAAACATGGCTGTGCCATGGGCTCCCCCGTGTCACCTATTGTAGCCAACCTTTACATGGAGGAAGTGGAAAGGAAGGCTCTTGGCTCTTTCAAAGGAAGAGTACCCAGCCACTGGTACAGATATGTAGACGACACCTGGGTCAAAATCAAGACACAAGAAGTGGAATCCTTCACTGCGCACATTAACGCTGTGGATAAAAACATCAAGTTCACCAGGGAAGACACAAAGGACAACTGTTTGCCTTTCCTGGACTGCGCTGTGCACATTGAAGAGAATGGCAAACCTCAACATCGAAGTTTACCGGAAGCCCACACACACGGACCAGTACCTCCTCTTTGACTCCCATCACCCTCTGGAACACAAACTTGGAGTAATTAGGACCCTACACCACCGGGCAGAACATGTTCCCTCTAAGCCTGAAGGAAAAAAGAAGGAACACACACATGTAAAGGAAGCACTCAAAACGTGCGGCTATCCTAAATGGGCGTTCTTAAAGTCAGCAAAGAGGCACAGAAAAGAAGACCAGACACCAGCGAGGGAGGATAAGAAGGACAGACGCAACAACATTGTCATCCCCTATGTAGCCGGTGTATCAGAGAAACTCAGGAGAGTTTTCTCCAAGCACGACATCCCGGTGCATTTCAGACCCAGCAACACGCTCAGACAAAACTGGTTCACCCGAAAGACAAAACTCCAAAACACAAACTTAACAATGTGGTGTATGCTGTACAGTGCAGCGAGGAATGCTCAGACCTCTACATTGGAGAGACCAAACAGCCACTTCACAAGCGCATGGCACAACACAGAAGAGCCACCTCCACAGGACAAGACTCAGCAGTCCATCTGCATCTTAAGGATAAAGGACACTCTTTCGAGGATGCCAATGTTCACATTTTGGACAGAGAGGACAGATGGTTTGAAAGAGGAGTGAAAGAAGCCATCTATGTCCACTGTGAGCGACCATCTTTGAACAGAGGCGGTGGTTTACGACACCAACTCTCTGCCATCTATAATCCAGTTTTGAGATCCCTTCTTTCAGTCAGTCGTCCAGCCAGCCAGCCATTTTCTACGTCTGTTCTGTTCACCCACTCCTTATAATAAACCTTCACCAGTCTTCACCTACCTGCGAGTCCTGCGTTTGGGTTCCTTCTTCCTCGCCTCCACACAACGCCTGACAAACCTGACCATTAGCTGAACTCACAGGTCCTCAGGTGTATGACAGGTCACTGCCTGTCATACACAGCTGCAGCTTACAGAGACATGTGTGTTTAAATGATTATTCATTGTTCTTCATGTGTATAGAAGAGCATCATAAAGGGTAAACATTTCTCTTTTACAGCCAAATGTGTTTGCATCACTTCTCAGGTTTTCTTTAACATGATGGAGGAATAAGTACTGCAGTGTGGTTTCATGCAATCACATGAAATAAAGGACAAAGAGAGTCTACAAAAGTATAAAGATATATGTTATTATTCACATTCAGGCATCCATATCGAAAACTCTAACATTTCAACTCGAGTGAGTCCACCACTGTGCAATATCACTACAATATGTTACAATATGCATGTTTCTATGTACTGAGTATCTACTGCCATGAATTTTCAAATACTTGATAAGTGTAGGTACCATGAAGTATCTACTGTTTTTGTATTTTAAAATCACAGGCATTGCAGCCTCAGAGAGAGCCAACAGTGAGCAGCACTTTCTGAGAGTGGAGAGAAGAAACTTCCTTAAACAGGAAGTGACCTCTGGGAGAACCAGGCTGCATCATTCCCTCACCCAAAAAGGCTGTGGTGATTTCATTTGGGGTGCAGCTGCCACGACCAACCACAAAAATGGGAGTGAAGTAAAAGATGTTGGCAGATTATATTCATATCTGAATCTCTGTGGGTCGACCAGAACACCTGCCCAGCCTGAATCCCCACAGTGAAGAACAACGGTGCAAGTCAATGAGTCAAACTCCCAACGTTAGTTTGTTAGACCTGTAGTATGATGACCTTTGCTCTATTTTAAGAAAAAATAGAGTAACACAAGAACACAGACACTCAGTTGAATGGAAATGGTGGTGACTTCCATTTAGAGGACTGAATCTGTCCCACATCCTCCACGTACACAGATTTCATTTATTTATTTATTTTTTTGCTTTCACAGTTGGCCTTGCTGCAAACGTGGAAATAATCATGTTTCTCATTCTGTACATTCACCTTTAAAATAAAGGTGAATGTACAGAATGTTAATAATAAATATATAATAATAATGTTTGTAATCTGAACAGTCTATCATTGTTTTCGCACCTGCTCAGCTTCACTTTTATTACCTGATAGAGCACGGCAGTGACCTCACTCTATACCAAAATCTCACAACTCCAAAATATTAATGAAAAACTGTTCATTTTATACTTTATAACCACATTACAAAAAAAGAAAAACAGAGCTGTTCGCATATTTAACTGATTAGAAAGCAGACTCTACAGCTGAAGTTCAAAGCTTCAAAGTCAGACACATCGTTTCCTGTTAGAACAAACTGGCCACTCTGTGTGCTGAACTAAAATTATAATAATACATGAAAACACTTCACATTTTACACTTCATGATGTTCATAACAGCTCATTCGTAATCAGAGAGAAACTCCGAGAACAACACAAGGCCACGAGGAAGACTCAGACAAATCCAGGAGCTCAGGATTAAAGTTAAAATATGCTGCTTTGTTTTAAGATAAAAGTCTGAATATTATAAAGTGATGCTAAGTTGTGACATATTTAAGAATAAGTTAGCATTTTTACAAGAAGAGTCAAAGCATTTTACTGTTTTGCTGAAGTTCTGACATATTTCAAGAATAAAATTGTAATTTTATATCTGAGTCTTTATATTTTTAGATTAAAAATTTGTAGATTAAATAAAGTTTATACAGATTAAAACATTTGACTTTTTGATTAAACCACTGAAGCTGTAACTCAGAGTCATAACACTGTGAATATGGTGTTTTTGTCTGAAAGCTTTTAATCCACAGCTATTGTTCAAGCTGAAAGCTGCAAAAACAGGAACTGCTAACACAGACGTCTTGTGGTTGTACGAGTAACTGCAAGTAGTTTAGAATTTATCACCTTTGTATCCATGGAAACAAGCTCATGAACTCATTTTTTGCGTCGTGGATTGCTGAGGTCGGCACACTCACGGTTGATCAGATTTGTTGTGCTCGTCAAGTCTTTCTCTAAATAATAAAAATTCACCACTTAGTTCAGTTTGATCGAATGAAATGACGACTTTGTTCTGACGTGATTTCATTGTGTTAAATGACCTGAAATTGAAGTTATCTCTTCTGCTGGCCTCGGGGTTTTGCTTCATCGTTTTCTCAGATCGACCCAGCCTGAAACCCTCGTGAGATTTTATGATCGTATTTGACTGTTAAAAAAACCAACCAAATGAATCTACTTTAGATGACCCATAACCTCCTTCACAGAGGTAGCAACCCTATGTAGCTTCTGTGGACGACATATTTGAAACTCATTTGGAAAAACTCTAAACTTTGGACGATTTCAGAGATGTGAGGTTTACACACACTGGCCGGTCTGGAGCGGTTTCTGGTCCAGCCTGGATGGAGATGTGCTCCATCTTTCTGTGCTATAAATAAGCTGTAATCATCAGGTAACAGAAAAGTCAACTCCCTCAGCTCTAAAGAATCTGAGCAGGGCAGGATGCCAGCTAAATGTTAGAAAGATGAGCTTGTAAGTGATCAGCACTCCTGTCCTAATGCTTCACTGTCGTTACATTTACACAAACACACACTGTACATGTCCATGCCGAGTCCATTTGTTCTCATTCATAAATCAAGGACTTTCATCCAGAGGGGCTGGTGTCACTGGTTGGCCTCCTCTTCCTCAGGTCTGTCTGAGTGCAGGTCTGCTCCTCTTTTCCCAGAATGCAGTCTTGTATCCTCTCAGCTGTTTGTCCTTCTTCCTCTTCACAGGAGCGTTCTCAGCTCTGAGGACAAAGAGAGGACACGTCTCTGAGTGTTCTCAGTCCACAATGTGTCTTCAATAGTGTGTGTGTCACATGTGCTTACCTTGGTTTCTCCTGGACGCTGCAGAACTTCATGCACTCAGCATCCTCTGAATCCGTGCAGCGGCAGCGGCTCAACTCCCTCCTCACTCGCACCGATCCGAACCCGTAAGGCACCAGCTGGCTGGAAGAGTCAGAGTCAGATATTCACTGTCAGATATGATGGAGGCACTGCAAACATGCATTAAACACACTCGCAGTTCTCCTGTCCGTCATCAGATATGTGCAGAGTCTGTGCAGCGGAGCATGATCACGCCAGCAGCCACACTGGCTTCAAGTTAAATCACTGCCTGATGGCATTTCTGACATATTTTGGTGTTTTCTGTTCAGAGGGAGGAACTGATGATGTGCCCACAATCTTCCTATAAGACTGAGTAAACAAACTCCTAAAAGTTCTGGTTCCATATACATCTGCACCTTCAAATGTGCAACAGATAGGTTTGACACAGGAGGCAAGTTCTGCTGTCCTGCGGGAAGGACCTGCTTACAGATTTCCTTGTTTAGATTTAAGGGAATTTTTAGAAGAGAGGTTGAACAGGGTTTCATGCACTGGTGCTTGTAATAAATCCCAGTCTGTAGGCAGAGTAGTTAAAGCTAATCAGAGCCTTTGGATGACCGCAGTAATAAACATGCCGTTTACACTGCTCTCCAGGCAGCACGGCAGAAATCCACAGGCGACAATGTTCAGTCAGACTTTCATGGAACTTATCAGCATTTTGATTTTGAGCCGAATCAAATCCAAATAAATGTCACACTGAAGAACACATATAGTATAGACTGGACACTGAAAGCTCCAAGTCTGTATAGTCACATGGATTCTGCTTTGCGTTTTGGACTGCTGGTATGTTTGTAGAGAATATCACAGCCATTATAGCAAATCCATCCTGGTATGGTCTCTTGAAGAGATGGCAGTTGTTAAGCTTTAGCATCACAACCAAAGTAAGACTGTGTTTCCAAATCTTACCGATAGTTAGCGTCAGTTTGTTTTGATTTGAAGTGTGTAAGAGTATTTTTACTGTTGCAGCTGTTGCAGGTGAAGCTAAACTGAGTTAGAGAGTTTGTCCACACTAGTGACAGGTATCAAGCTCAACAAATTATGATATTCACTTAGTTCACCACTAAACTAACATGATGACTGAGGACGGTGATGATGGTGGCTGACATTTCCAGATGTGTTGGGAGCAGATCATCCTGTGCGGTCGTTGAGCAAGGTCACAGGTGAGAAGAGTAAGAAAGAGGTCATCCGTCGTCTTTGGTGAGCGATCTCAGTCGGTGACTCCAGCTTTCTCAGTGTATTATTTACTCTCTGTTATTTAAGAAAGGTTATTATTGTTATCATTATCATTTTTGGGCACTTTTCTGATTGCAGCTATATTTATCTGTGAGCATGGTGCTGATATATAAGAGCCATAGTGCTTTCACACTTTGGCTTAAAGGATGCTGCCCTTTAGTTCTGTTTGTTTGCACTGATGTGTCTTCAGATTATTTACTGTTCGTCTCAAACCTTTGCTCTCACTGGCATGTGAGTGTGAACTCTGTGCATACATGACAGTGAGCACACCTCTGTCAGTTTTTTCTTTCAATAAACATGAACATTAGACATAATTGTACAAAATCTCTGGAAGTCACACCTTTTATATCACTTTTATAATGAACATTATGCTATGACACGCTCTCTGTCAACACTGTCGCCATTTCACAGTAGTTTCAAAACTTCTGATGATGCCCTTCCAAGCGGTCGGAGGATAAATCTGCAAGGTAATGTGATAAATGAAGTCGTGGAAGGCAGACATATGAATGTGATGCTGTGGGTGTTCTGACCTTGTGCTAAAAGTAGCTCAATTTTATAGTTTCGTGGATTAAGACCTCACACTTCCAGGTGAAAGCTGGCTGTGTGGCTCGGCTTAATTTTTTTGCACTTGTTACCTTACTCAGGCCCTGAAAAAATGACTCTCACTCCCTCTGTGGAACACATGCAGACAGCTGTTGGTACACTGCTCCAGAGTTCAGCTGTTCATAATTATCTATCACTGAAACAAACATCAAGCATCTGCACCACATTTATGGCCAAAGACACAACAATGCTGTTTTTTTTTAAATACGCATTGAAACTGATATAGCTCTCCACAACCCTGAAATCCGATCAAATATGTGCGCATGTAACTTCCTTAAAAACTTGTTTCAGCCATTGTTTTTACTGTGCAACTGCTAACTCGTGTACAATAAAGGAATTAAGCAAAAACCATAAACAGTTAAATAAATAAGTCAGCAGTTTTTATACAGATGTACCATTAACTCGTGTGCTAATATTTTAAAGGTGAGTAATTTGATCAAATGTAATAACATATTCAAGTGTCAGTCACTCAGACAGTAGCGGACACGGGCGGTTGCCCGGGGCGGCAGCGTGATGGGGGGCGGCATCACGGGCATCGGAAAAAAAAAGAAAAATTACTCGTACTCATGCCGCTCCGACGTCATGCCAGCGCATATTGGGAATGGCATAGGCACCGATCGGTTTTCTATTGCCCATTTGCTGTGAGTAAGGGCGCCCTCCGTTTGCGAGGTGCGCCTGCTGCTTGCGGCACAGGGAGGAGAGGGCGGGGCGGCGGGGGATTCTCTGGCTGGCTGGAGCAGCATCTAATAACCAACCCGCAAAATAAAACAAACAAACAAACAAAAAAAACCCAACAAACACAAAAACACCAGACATTATGATACAGACTTATAATTTGCACCGATGGTTTTTCGAAATTCTATATAGTGAGCGCTAGAGCCCTCGGTGCGCCTGCTCGCTGCTGAAATCAAAGTAAACTTTATTGTCATCTCCGCTACATACAGAGAGACGAGACGACGAGGCTCCAGTTACAGCAGTGCAAGTAAACAAACAATGTATATAAGAAGAGTAAGAAAATAATATACACTTAAGACTAGGGGTAAAGGCATAGTCAGAGGAAGTGTTCGCCCAGGGCGCCAAACAGGCGAGGACGGCCACTGCGCTCAGATATGTGTTTGCTTGTGTGGAGTTTTATTCTGCAGCTCAGACAAAGAAGAAGATGACCTATGCTACACTAATAAGGCACACAGGTGAGATCATCACATACAGAGGCTGCAGAGCACAATGGTAATGATTCTCAACACAGCACACTGAGTTTATATCTGAAACTCAATACAACATTATAAAACTAAACCACGTACAAGTGGGCAAGCCCAACCTAGCCCTGCTTTCCTTTTGTCAGATTTTCTAATGCCCACCTGGCCTGGTCTGAAACGACCTGTGATTGGCCAGAATCTCACATCACAGAGTGCTCCCCCTGCTGGTCTAAAATCAGGGCTGGTAGGGGTAGCGAGAGTGTAGTCCCCTCTGAGACTGCTTCATTTATAATTTGCTGAAACACTACTGAGGATTTTGTCTGTCGAGAGATGCCAGAAATATGTCTGCTGGAAAAATGAAGAATGAAGAAACACAATTTCGCTGAAGAAATTTATGTTTGGTGTTTAGATTTGGGCCAGACTTTTTGCGAAACAGTGTATATTTTTAACTTTCTGGATCAAAATAAAATGGCACATGGAGTTAAGAGAGATATATCTCCTTTGTGGAACTAACAACAACCCACAGACGTCAGAAAGATGACAAACTCCCCTTCTAGTTCAGCCAAGAGTATGAATAGCTATCTTAATCTTTAACAGTTCAATCCTTTTTGAGGTTAAGCTATCAGGCAACGTTCACAGACCATCAGCCAGAGCTTCATGTAAGCAACCTGTAGAGATCAGTAACCACTGATAAATAATTCAAACAGATAAACCAGGGAGCGTTCGGCTACAGCAGTGGTTCCCAAACTTTTTTTGCTGGGCCCCCCTTTGTTTTACACGAAAAACGTTCGCGCATTAACACATCCTCCAACCACACACACCCATATTTTGCTCCATTGCGGTTTATTTCACACCTCAAACATTTAGTAAACAATTAAGTAAATACAAGTAAACTGGTAAAATGCAATAAATGACAGGTAGTAATAAAATAAACTACTAACTCTTTTACGCTGTCCGCACCTACACGGGTATTTTTGAAAACGCAGCCGTTTCATCCACACGTAAACGGCGTTTCGAATCACCGAAAACGGAGGATTTTTAAAACTCCTTTTTTGCGGATGAGGAATACAGAGTTTGTCTGGCAACGTCAAAGGTATGTGCCTCTTTTCACGTCAGGCTGTGCGCCATGTTATTGTTTACATGAGATGAATTGCAGAATAGCAGATAGAGACGAAATACTGTTACTGTTAATCTGACTGTCTTCAGGTTTTACAAGCAGTTACTGTCCCTCCATTTACAAAGGCAGAAGCTTCTTATTTTACATGTAGTTGTTTTTTTTTCTTCTGTATAATAATATTCAACATTGCTATCAATACATTTTTCAAAAAAATGCCTCTCTGTGCAAAATGGGTTTAAAAACATAAACAGCTGTTGGATGCTGTTTGTCCGTGATTTGAACAGGGAACAAATTGTGGCAGGATCAGCCTGATATTATTTTTATCTTGCTGTAAATTTACTGTATAAAGAGCTAACGTCTCCAAAATGTCAGGAGTAGTTAGTCATTACAGCAAGTGTTTGTGAACTAAAAATCAAGAATGTGGGATACTGTTTGTCCGTGATTTGAACAGCCCAGCGCTGCTCCCAAGAAGGGAAAACCAATTCTGCAGGGGAGACCAACCTCGGCACTTGTGCAGGTGAAACCAAAGGGCAGATATGCTTCACCATATTTTCTAGTCTTTGGCTTAGAATGAAGTTGGTTTGGAAACATATTCAGCGATGCTTCATCTCCTGCTTTGCGTTTCTGTGGGCGCCCGTGCAGCGTCCAAGCGTTTTGTTTTTTTCCTTTTCATACTGCGCCCCCCCTGCCATGGCTCTGCGCCCTCCCTAGGGGACGGGCCCCGCACTTTGGGAAGGTCTGGGCTACAGCATGCACATTGATGCTCTGCGGTCAGAATTAAGTCCCTGCTTCAGACCCGCAATCAAAATCCTCGTCTCTGCTGCTAATTTGCTATTCGTTAGTATTCCCTGGGCATGTTAAACGTTTGGAACATATTTCCCAGCAATCCATCAGTTACTTCCAAAAATGTACTCTCA